CAGTGTATATAACGGTGGAAGAATTTGAAGAGACTAACCTTGAAAATAATGGTCTTCATTATGAAAGTTGGAAATATTTTCTACTGGAACGGTCTTGTATTCCTCAGAAAAGTTCATCTGTCAAGGATAAGGAGTTCTACAAAAGTAAGCATTCTGAACTTGAACAAGAATTTAGTAGCATATATGGTAAGTTAATTACCTTTTCAAGTTCTTTATTTGACATCCCTAACCATCTCAAGTTCTCAACCATTCCCGTGGATTCGATCATTTCATCGTTCTCTCCAATTTTAATGGACCTATAGTCTGGTTCTTCTCTTAAGTTGTCTGTATATTTGAGAGAACACATATCTGGTACTTGATTAGAATGGGACGGAAAGAAAAACTCATCACCTTCAGCATAAATCCCATCCCATGTTGTGACTGGAGTTTGAAAATCCTGAGAGACTTGAGCAATAGATAAAATTTCCTCCAACATATCAGGTTTATTTCTATTTTCTTGGAAAACATTTGAATGTGACACATTGGCATCAGCAGCAAAGTTAGCCTGTGGAAAGTCGTCGACTCGTAGTGGAGGCAATGAAAATCTCTGTTGCAACCGTGTGCGCTCTAATGCTATATCAACCTGAAAAAAGTGAAACTAATATTCGAGAACTATAATACAACAAATATGAATATGGATCAAAGATGCACGTGTGTCTCGGTTGAACCACCTCGTCCAAAAGTTTAAGTTGTTATATAGGGACGCTTTATTTACTTCAATTTTAATTTTTTGACAAGTCCCTCATGACAAGATTTCATTTTTCCCCATTTTACCAGAGACTTGACGTGTAAAACTTTATAAATGGGAGGCGACCGAACTTGAATTCGGATCATTCTTGACATAGAAACACGAGACTCTCAGTCCTGTTCTCTTCAGATATGCAATTATTCATTTATAAGGTAGAAAATTTAACCTTGGATTGCGGATATGACATTGGTGCACAATAAGAGTACTGATTGCTGAAACTAAAGTCCTCTTCTGATAGATATTGCTTCCATCTGCCATCACTTGGGCCAACCGGATCCATTTGAGAGCCTTGGATTGCACTGGATGAGCTTGTAACTAATGGTGTAGCATAGTCAGAGCTATCAAAGTCATTACATTTTCCTTCAGAATATATGTCAATGCTAGAGGACCGATCACTAGCTGGTGTTGTGACAGAATGGTCGTGAATTTTGGGGGCATTCAAACTCTTCTTGAATATACGGCATAGGGCGTAAGCATCCTGGAATTTTAACCCAAAAAAGAATTGAATAATTTTCTATAATATCTGAAGGAATTAATGTACTTTGCTATTCCTAACCAATTCCAGAACTTTTTGGCCCAGGAGTGGAGGGTGCACAAGAAATAATGCTACTTTGCTGGAAAATAGGTGACAAAGTGACATGAAAGTCAAAAATTATGTCAATCATTATATTTATGTAGCATGAGTGGTACATAAGTGTCAATCTCGTAGTGCATAATATATCAAGATACACAATCTGACAATCTAAATTACTTGAGATCTTTAGTCTCAACTCTCAAGACTCCTATAAAATTTCGCCATATAATTAAGATGTTTATGATTTTGGAGGAACGAAACGAAACATGACACATTGCGACAAAAGTATCATGTCGATAAATTTCTATCAAAATTCCGTCGCTAATAGTTGCTGTTGCAGTCAATACTAGAACTAGAAGCTATCCAGAATCTAACAATGGAATAAATATAGGGTAAAACTGAAAAGGTAAATTAAAAAAGGGCGGTTGTACCTGCAAGCCCGAATTAGTTTCACATTCTCTTTCGTCTAAGCGATATTCATGCATAACCCAATTGGTTCGAGATCCATGTGGAGCCCTCCCTCTATAGTAAACTAGGGTTTTCTTCATTCCAACAGCCTTCATCTGTGAGTTCACCTTTCTATCCTTTCCGGTGGCCTTCCAGTACCCAGCTTTTGTTGCCCGGTTTGTCCTTGAACCATTTGGATATTTACGATCTCGAGGGCTAAAGAAGTACCATTCCAAATCTTTGCTTGGCAATAAAGATTTTCCTGTTCAATTTAAATTCTTCCATCGTTTACCAGTTGATAAAATAGTTACTGCAGGAGTCAAGTCAAGGCATGAAAATGTCTCGGTTGCATTTTTAATATGTAGTTTCGGATTGGTTCAAGTTTTTAATTTTTTTCCAGTACCCAATAACGTTCATTTAACCTAATCCCTGATTCTCTTAATTTCTTGAATTTTTTAACCTCTTATATTTAGCAATATTCTCTGTGCTTTAGAGGCTGACAAATCATTAAAAGAGTTTCCAAAGAATTGCATCCAAAACTGTTTCTCTAGGGAACTAAATTACCTATCACTTAAATTATGTAAAACGTGCTCTTAATTACAAAAAAATGGTGAATCAAAATGAATTTTTCTTGAAGATTTTGAAATCAGAATTATACTAGAGCTAGCAGGAAAAGGGAAGGGTGGGATTCACATATGGGGAAGACAATGCAATTATATTCTTTTCTTTGCTTTTAGACTAATCATTTATATGCTACATAAGTGCACATCTTTGTAATTTTATTTTTGAAATGAAAAGACGTAGGCCCATTATTCAATTTCCCTTTTCACAAGCAATGTAATATAAGAAGAAATTATTGCATCCATAAAGCTAAATTATTATTATGTTTTCTTTACTGATAAAGCATTTGTACACAAACCTTGTTTTCTCCTTAACTCTTCGTCATTCTCTGATATGTACAAATTACTATGTATAAATAATAAAAAAGGATGAGTAATTACTAATTAGCATGTACCTGGCAGGTCCCATGGCTCACACTTGTAGAGATCAACTTCAGGAATGATTTCGAGTTCAATCTTACGACCATTAATTTTTCTCTTTAGATAATAAGCCACCAGTTCTTCGTCCGTTGGGTGAAACCGGAAGCCGGGAGGCAATGAAACGGGTGCCATGATCTTATTTAGAATTTCTTGATAATATTGAAAAGAAACCTTGTAGAAATGAAAACACTTAACCAGCAAGCTAGCCCCAATCAAAAAATTATGTAGACCAGCCTTCTTTGAAGCCAAAAAGCGTACAACTGCAAATTTACAGAAACCCTAAAAACAGATTAGTAGCATGAAACTATTTAATTTGTAGATTAATAAATGATTAGCACTGACCAATCTCTGAAATAAAATCTTTTGTGTGTGTGTGTGTGTGTGTGTGTGAGAGTGAGAGAGAGAGAGAGAACCTTAGTTAGAAGATCCAAAGGAGAGAAAGAGGGATGCAAATCAAGGAGGGAATGAAGGAGACGAATGACAAGTTTGGGTGAGAATTGGGGGCCTTCTTGAGGTTCTGATAAAAGAACAAAAAGTTGAGAAAAAGTGATCGGAGATGCCTCCCCTCTCCTACTACTTTATCTTTAAATTAGTTTATTTTTTCACATCATATGACTTTAAAAAAACTTTCTTCGCAAGCAATCCCCCACCCTCCCTCTCTCTCGAGTTTTCATGGATGCATGTACATGCACATATGGCAAACATATAGATATAGAATTTCTGTCTCTCTCTCTCTCTCTCTCTCTCAATGATCCCATGCTTCATACTTGTCTTTTCTTGGAATCTGAGTTTGACGTGTATTAATATGTGTCATTGATGCATGGCAACTTGGAAAAGGATATTTGCTCCCAAAGGAAATAGTGTAGAGAGAAACGAATTGGTGGCTTTCTTAACTGCGTACTGCAAAGAATGTTCTTTTCACAAGCCAATAGCCTTCTTCCAACTAATCGCCCAATAAAATACTGCCAAAGAAATTTACTAATAATAGTTAATAGTTAATTACTACCTATATCTTCATATATTTGTTAACACAGATGAAACAAAGACAAAGAATGAAAAATATATCAAGAGTATTTGTGTAGAGTTTTGGCTTGTATAATGTATGCCATTTACAGTTCGGAAATATAGAATATTGTACCCGAATATGTACATTATGTAATAGTGTAGAAAGCTTCTAATCGTCACATTATTTATCTCTATAAAATAAAAAAAGCACCAAATTCGAGTGTTAAATGAACCCTAAAAATGATGACTATATTGTCAACAGAAATATGTCACGGTAGCTACTAAAATGTCCATTCGGCTTTGCTTGTGTGCTCATCTTAAAATAACTTAGGTAATTTAATCTATTTGGATGGTTATTGAGTAGATCTTGGACCTTGTAAAATAACATATATACTTATATACTTAGTTCGCTAGGAGAGCACTTACATCAAAAAATCCCCTCTGCAACATTATTTCTCACGACCTTAATTTATGTGGCTAATAAGAATTACAATAATAGTTAAGACAATCATCTTAATTTCTCAAAAATAATTGTTAAAACAATCACTTTTAAAAATTTTATGCTATTTATTCTTTTATCATAGTTGTTTAAAAAATAATAATAATAATAATAAAATAAAAATTGCACGATGGTGGATTGAAAAGATTTTGCCATTAATAAATCTTTCTTTGACCAGAGGCGGCTGAAGAAACAAAATTTTTTGGGGACCCTTTTAAAAAGATTATAAGAAATGTAAATGAAGCAAATGATTATCAACAAACATCATGAGTGATTATGGTAGAAATTACTTTTATTTGATTTCAAAAGGAATTATCAGCACTAATATCATGGAAGATAAGCGACTAACTCCTCAATCGATTGCTCACGACAATTCTGCTGATGATGTCTTCAGCAATCTTGAGTGATGCTTAACTCGCTAATAAGTAATAGACAAGTTGATATTATTGACAAAATTTATTCTTTATTTTAATTTTTAATAAGTTATTGACGATATATAGCATCAGTGACTTAGATATCTTATTATTTTTATTTAATGCCAAATAAGTTATTTTCTCGAACAGTTATTTCATTACCAACAATTTTTTTTTCATTAAATATTTTTACTACTTTATAAATAGACAAACATTTCGTTGATAAATCAAAATTTTAAAAAAATAAGTGTTTTTAATTGTTATAGAGGGAAAATGTAACTCAAAATTTGCAATGATAAAACTATTTGGAAATAATTTTTTCAAGAATTTGGACCATTTCCTAAATGTGGGTCTTAAGACCATCTTGTTTGTGTAAAATTTAAGCTGGCTATCTCTTGGATTAATTTCTTCAAGGTAACAATATCTTGGATTAATTTCGTTCATAGTAACAATATTTTTCTTTAGTGTCAATCGCGTAATGTTCAATTTTATTTAATTGAGTACATATACTTTAATGTGATTTCAATCATGCAATTATATTTTTTATACTTCAATCGGCTAACTCTATCGAATTTCATTATCTGGACAGACAAAAATTAATAAATAACGGTCATCACACATACTTATTAGTTGCTAGCATGAAATATGTACAACTTCAGTGAAATAATGAAGGACTTTTTTAATTGACAAACAGTTCTTCAATTTTCGTTAGCTTAGTGAAGGAAATAGATGGAGTTATTCAATTGATATCAAACTAAAGTATAATTATATGATTGAATAAAATTGAAGTACGATTACTTGATTGACAATTGAGTAAAATACAATTAATGCGAATGTATTTTATGTTGGGAAATTATTCACCACCGGGGTTAGAGAAGAAACAATGCAGAAAATTAATTAAGAGGATTAGAAAACGAATCAAGATTATAACGAAAATGGAAGGCTCAAACACGACGTTACATCGTTGTCCTCAAATGATATTTACCCCCTCTTGGTATTAATGTTGGTGCTTGAAGGATCTCGTGGCAAACGGTTTGAAGGATTGATCAAGTCTTGATGTAGAGAAATACAAAAGCACAAGTATTTCTCCACCCGAACTTGAAGAACATAAAGGGAATATATGAATATGGAGGAAGAAATGATTTTCCTTTCTTGTGGAATGATGACAGATTAGCTTATGTTTTGTAATCTGATTTTCATGTGTTTTTTTATGTCCAACAAACACATATTTATAACCATGAATCAAAGCTTCACGAAATGGTGCCAAAACAAGATGAAAAGTGGCAACTTTTAATTCAAAACGGCTCCCAAGTTTCAAATTGAAAAATAAGTCTGTGCGTACGCACAAAAATAAGTCTGTGCGTACCCATAGGCAAAAATCAAATTTTTTATTTTTCAATTTCTTTTGATTTTACCAATTCCACAATTGAGTCTAACAATTAATCCATTATCATTCCATTGATTTTGAACAAATATTCAATAGTTTACCCCTGTGTCTTTAACCACAAGAAAGATATGAATATTAATAAAGACAAAATGTGCTGATTCCTTTCTTCTTTCGGGAAATTGAAAGATATGGCTAACAAGTTAGAAAAACAATACTTTTTCTTTTAGCAAGTAGAAAAACAATACAAACAATTAATACATACATACATACATACATACATACATACATACAAACTATATATAATTAAATACAATGATCATTAAGAAATCTTGCTATTGTAGAGTTAGTAAAAAGAAATCGATCCATCTATTTCGTTACTCGGTGTTCCAACTTATATTTTAATGAATTTTAGAAGTCCATGAAAATTTAGGTATTCACGACTCATATTTTAATAGGTTTCATTTAAAATTTAGATATTATCAACTTAGATTTTAATAGTTTCCATTAAATCTATGTGTTACTTAATAACTTGTAAATTTCTAAGAATTTCATTAATTGTAATGATTCGTATAGAATTTAATGCGTTTCCAGCATTCTAGTATAAATACCAAACTCAGAAATTCTAATCTAACTACTCTCGTTTCAATAGATTTCAACCCATAAATATAAAAGTCAAACTTGTTCATTCAGTTAACAAAAATAAATAGAATTAATAGAAATAAAAACATAAAAATAGTAATAAATATCTCATTTTCTAGTCTCATTCTTATGTGGCCAACTGTCATCTTATGGGAGAGAAATAAAAATATAAAATTAGGTTCTCGTTTTTATTAAAAATTGAAATCGAATTTTTATTTCTTGAGCGCTAAGAATAAAAAATTAATTAGCTCATTACGTTTTTTAAACTTTATTCACCAATTAAATAAATAAAATATTTTATGAGTATTTTCTACGTAATATTAGATCACATTACAGTGAAATGATTTTTAATATTTCAATTGAATAGATTTTAAATTTTTATATTTATTTGCTTGACTTTGTAGATTATAATTTTTTTTTTTTCGTTTTTTCATATAAATATGATTTTTAATTTTTTTTTTTTTCCGAACGAGTCCATGCAAAATATAGTGGAAAGGAAAACTTAACAAGTAACAAATTTCCCAGCGATTTCATTGGAAATTATAATTTCTTATTTAATATAGATTTGTGTAAGAATTTCCTCAATTAAGTTTTTAATAGAAAAGTAATTGATAACTACCTTTCGAAATATGTTTTTCTTGTACAAAGAATACTTTTTTTGCATCTTCAATTCTACAAAGCTTTACTACTAGGACGGCTTCCATAAACATTCCTTATGGATGCTCGAAAAAATAACTTTCAAAATCGACCCTCACATTGGAATGATTTTTAAAATTGTTTGAGTTGCTTAAGCTCGAAGCCCTTTCATCGAGAAGCTATAACATGACAGTCATGGGCGGATCTAGGTGTGGTCATGTGGGGGTCAGTTGACCCCACAGAATTTTTAAAAAAATTTTTTTGTTACTTTTTTTTTCATTTCACTTTTTTCTTATGTGAAGTACATTGTTTCTTGAATATATATATATAGCGTGATTAATAATTATTCTTATGTATATTTATTTTAAAATCTTGATCGCGTACTGGTTATAAAGAGATAGATGATTGAAAGTTTTAGGTCCTAATCGATGGTAGAAATTAAACAAAAAAATATATATGTGTATATAGCTTTTCTATTTAAATGAGAAATTTTGAATGTTTTCGATATTCTTGATCAAGCTCACGGTAGAATTATCAATGATCATTATAATTTCAATGTTATTTTCTAGTACTTCCAAAATACTAATACTAGATATTCCCATATACAACGTTTAAAGTAATGTGTATTGAATTATTTTTATTTAATGTTATATTGTTTGAAAAAAAAAAATTGTAACTTAATTTTTGAATTGTTATACAACACAAGTTATAGTAACATTTTATCTAATTTGTTAATTGAAGTCCAAAGGGTGTTTGGTTTAGTTCAACGGAGTTCAATCTAATAGGTTCACAAAAATTAATGGGAACAAAGGTATTGAATTGGATTCGTGAAAGAAAAGGAGTTGAAAAGAGTATTCTCAACCTGAATACCGAAAGAACATGAAGCTTGTATTTTAATCACCTTTCCATAATAAAAAAAATTAGTTTCAATATATGCTTTTAATTTTTTTATACGTATTATTTATGGCAGCCATGCACATTCAATATTAATATTTT